TATATTGTTAGATTTTGCTTGGTTCTGCTAATTATTATGGAAATAAACGGATTTTTATTTTAAAATTTCAAGTTTTTAAAATTCTAGTATTTTTGCAGTATATATTTTTTAGATGTGTATTTTTCTGTATTTCTTTTTACAATATTAATGTGATTTTGTTTTGCTATTTGGTTTTGTTTCGGGTTATGCTAATGAAAATATTGATAGCGTATTTAATTTTGGCATTATAGTATTATTAACTAAATGTGACTAAGTTAATAATGTAATATAGTCATATATGTGTGTGTGTTTATGAAAAATATAATATATTGTTAATGCCAGGCATAAATCGAAAGGATGATTATCTAGGTATAAAAGCCATATAAAGTTAAGCATAGCTATTTTTTATTTGTATCGGTGTTCAATATATAGATATATAGAAGATATACGTATGTTTCTATTAATTTTATTTTTGCATATATATATGTAAAGTTTACTCTTAGTGGTTGCCATGACACAAATGTCACTAATTCAATTTCAGTTTGATTTTGTTTGCTGGTTTTCAATGATTTTTTTTCGTTTTTTATTTTTTTTATTTTAATTTTATTTTTTGTATTTTTTGTTGTTGTATGAAGTACGGAAAACTTTTCAATTGATTTTAGTTACTAATTTGATTCGCTTTGGCTTGGGCCAATAATTTAATTTTGTTTATGAACCAATGACGAAATGAAGATTTGGAAACTAAATAAATTTGAAAGGAAATAAATCAAATAAATGGTTTACTAAATTAATAGAAAGGAAAAAAAAATCCAACTAGCTTAACATGCATTTTTTTTTGTTCTTATATTAAAATATTGTCTTTTTTCGTCTTCTTTTATTTTATAATTTCATATTCTATGTAATGGGCTAAGCAATGTTTTCTTTTCTTGTATATTCTTGCAGCTGTCCTATTTGAATGCTCTGGTTTTATGTGAATAGTAGGTTTCATTCTTAAAGAAAATTAGTATTATATTGTTCATATCAATTTCCTAATTTTCAATCATAAAATCTGTTAAAATCGATCGATTTTCTTAATTTATTGGTATTCGGATAATAATGTATATATTAAATTTAAAATATATTTTCCAATTATAAGCTATGTATATATCGATGATTGGAAATGCTCAAATCATTACAATGATTTCTAAGCAATGTACTAACTCTATATAATAATGTATAATGAAAAGCTCCTATGAATCGTGAAAGGATATCTGCAAAAATATGAATTATTCGGCATGCCGAAATCATTTCTAGTTCTATCTGATCTGCTGATACATTTTTGAGCGTTATTTGTAAATTGAGAGAAAGCAAAATGTTTATGCTTAAGTTCATGCATTTGTCATATGGCGACGCAATTTTCAAATGTAATCTTAGCAATTTGTTTGCTCAATATATGTATATGTATGTTATATAACCCGACTTTTTGTTCTAGGTAGATGAAGAAGTATACGAGTGCTTTATAAAAATATTTGTTGGGTTGTTATAAAGAATGAAAATATGTTAAAAGTTAAGCAACAAATCGAACTCAAGATGAAAACGCAAAAATTA